AAGCAGTGAATTATATACTGCTTCTTGGAAAAGCTCCTTTTCCCTGGGAGGTAGTAATTAAGGCATAACTTCTCAAAAATGTTCCTTTATGCGACTCCCCAGGAAGTTTCTTTTAGGTCTATTGTCCTTTACTTCTGGGTAGTGGTGCCAAGTCACCTCTGTATGGTGAACTGGCTTTCTGTGCCTGAGGCCAAGATAAAATGAAAATGGCAATTCCCCTGTGCCCTGAGAATGCCTTGTAGTCTCTATAGCAACAGTGATGGGAGATGAGCAGGGCAGGATAAAGAGGGTAAAAGTGAGAGTGGGTTTATGGGATCATGTAGGCTTTTGAGATTGGGTGGGGCCCGCTGGCATACCGACTGATGGATTCCTTCCCTGGGAAGATGGTGGTCCTATGGAGATGGGGAGGGGGGAGGTGATAGAGAACAGAAGGATTGAAGATGTTGGGTTAAAAGCTTTTGGTTGAGAGTTTTTCCTTAGGTGATACCAGATGACCAGAAACCATTCTGGTTGAGTTAAGAGCTGAGAAGCTAAACAACCTGGGTTTGGTTCTGGCTATCACTGATGACGTGACTTGGTGCAATTGACCGCAAGTTCAAGTTCTGGGGTGTTTTTGTCAAGTGTGAGCAGGGATAAGGAATAATCAACTTTGTGGGGTTGCTTGATGATAAAATGAAGTAATGCACACAAACCACCTGGCACAGAGTAAACCTCTGTGTTAGCTATGAGCATCAGAAACTCAGATAACCGAACGCCATCATGCAGGTTCTTTCTTCTCCCTCTGATCTCAGCATCTAGAACAGAAGAATTGCAAATGCTGATTTTTAGGTGTTTTCTGACTGGGCAAGTTTATTCAGAATGGACACTTTAGAATCCTACTACAGGGTGTGGCCTGTGTGGTGGGGGTGTAGCCTTATCTGGTGTGGTGTGGCTTATCTGTTGGGGGTGTGGCCTAGCTGATAGGCTATAGCTTCCTTGGACAGCCATCCTTTACTTTGGAAAAGCTTTAATGAGTCCCAGAGTGGAGTCAATGGTTGAGGTGTTTCCCGTGGGCAGTCACGATGCCAGTGTCACTCATATGGCTCTACCAATAGCTTATGGCCAGCTGTGGCCAATTGATGCCCCAGGGGTGGCGGTTGTCTCTGGAGACTCTGCTGGTTGTGTCTAGTTTGGTTTGTTGCCTCTTAAGCCCAGAGAGTATAACCCAGGAAGGCAACGGATGTGATGCAGTGTTATATCAGACAAAATAGTGAACTTTTCATTGAAGAAAGAGAAAAGCATAGTGACCTATTTAAAGGCACTTATTTATATTCAGGACACTTCTTGTGCTGGTTTGAGAGTGTGGCCCGGCAGTCCTAGACATCTTTGCAGGTTTTTGATTTCTTTTTCATCCTCTGGGTTCAGTTGGTCTTGCCTGGAATATTTGGGAGTGGTCTTGTGAGGATGGAGAAGGGTCAGCACGGGGAAAAGTGGCAAGAGATGATTCTGGGGTGTTTTTGTCAAGTGTGAGTATGATTCAGTGTTCATTACTTTATGAAATCTGGGCTGTGGGATTGCATCATCAGAACTGGGTGCAGAGACAGTTGTTTGAATGTGGGTCCAGGGAGAGGGAAATGTCCTTCTTGTCCTATCTCATACTTCCATTTTCTCAGTGCCTTTCACCACCACTGGAGTTCCTGGGGGTGCCAATGGTTAAGGTGCATGACTGCTAACCAAAGGGTCAGAGATTTGAGTCCACCCAGAGGCACCTCAGAAAAAAGCCCTGGTGATCGGCTTCCAAAAAATTGACCCTAGAAAGCTCTGTGGAGCACAGTTCTACTCTGATAACATGTGGTTGCCATGAGTTGGAATCAACTGGATGGCAACTTTTTTTAGATGATTGAGGTAGAGACCAGAAAGGGGAGGAAAAGAGTTAGTACAGCAAGATACTCTAGGGAAAAGCCTAGGTTGGTGGAATGCTCTCTGGGTAGTCAGCTTTTCTAATCTTTAAATATTGAGCATATCCTGTGTGCAAGTTATGAGATGAGACTATATAAAAATGCAGCTGTTGTATCATCTGTAACACATACTTTTTGATCCTGGAGAGGAACAAGAAACACAGTTAAAAAAAAATCAAAAATTATCTAAGAAAAAAATAAATTACAGATATGTATATAAATCTAATGCGGACAAACAGGTGACTTGTTCGGCTTTTTGACCAGAACTCTGGGGAAGATCTTGATGTTAAAGAATGAGGGTCCTCTAGGATGAATCAAGTTTGACAAGTGTGCTTCTTCAGTCGTAGAAGAAAGCACAATTTCTTCCTTCCAAAGGTAAATATAGCACACAGAATGTTTCCCTTTCTATTCTTCTTTTGTTAAGTTAAATTTTTATTTAAAACTCTATGGAAGCTCTCTTAGTTACCTAGCGCTGCTATAACAGAAATACCGCAAATGGGTGGCTTTAACAAACAGATTTATTTTCTCACAGTTTAGGAGGCTAGAAGTCCGAATTCAGGGTGCTGGCTCTAGGGGAAGTCTTTCTCTCTCTGTTGGCTCCGGGGGAAGGTCCTTGTCCCTTCTGTTCCTTGGCAATCTTCGTGTGGCATGGCATTTATCTTCCTCCATCTCTGCTTTGCCCTCTGCTTGCTTAATCTTGCTGTTTTATAGCTCAAAAGAGATTGACTTAATCACACCCTATACTGATACTGCCTCATTAACATAACAAAGAAAACCCATTCCCAAGTGGGATTGTAACTACTATGTGGGTTAGGATTTACAACACCTATTTTTTGGGGGGGACACAATTCAATCCATAACAGAAGCTAAGACCAAGTTTATGTTTTTAAGAAGCTTCCATCCTACAAAAGAGGATGGAAAGGGATGGACCCAAACCTTTTTGCCAAGGGATTCAGGCTAGAGTGCTGTGAACAGAAGTTGAGTCAAATGACAAGAGTGTTTGCCCAGTGATGCCTTCCATATAACTCCATCAAGCGGACTTTGGACACTTGGAGGCCATTTTGTCCATCCTCCTTCCTCCTCAAAAGGTTCCTTTTAAACTGTACCAGAAAAAGCCTGTAGAGAAAGATTTTTTCCAGCTGCAATTTGTCACTTTAGTTTTTTCCCGTGGAACTCTTGGGTGGCTTCTAACCTGGATTTCTTCTGTTTCAGCTTGAGGCTGTTTCCTCTCTAGTCCTCAGGGAGCTGAAACAGCTTTCTCCCTTCCATTGGGCATTTCTAACCCTTGGGCGGCTGGCTCCATCAGTCTGCTCCCTTTGGCGCCCCCTACTGTCCTGTGCACTGTACCACGATTAAGCCCTTGGCTTTCCATTCTTGGGTGAGCCATCTTGATTCCTTTCATCTTCTCTCCTTGGTCCTGTGAGCCTCTTCCGCTATCTTTGGATCTTTCCTCTGACTCATTTCCCAATTCTTTGTGGCATAGAGAACTGGCTAGGAGCCCATGGTCAGACTCTGACCGGTGGCTGGGTAACCCTGATAACGTCTGCTGTGTCACTGTTGTTCAGCTCTTTTCCAGCCAGTAGGCTTCCAAGGACACCCCAAGTTTACTGATACCCCTGCTTGATAAGGAGAGAGGAGGGCGAGAGGTAGAGGGCGTGAGAGAGGTGACTTTTTTAAAAGAGAAACTTAAGAAAATGCCGAAACATACTAGAATAACATAATAATAACACCAGGCTACTACCCAGAACTGAGAGTGGCTCTTATTTTGTTATATTTGCTTCCAATCTTTTTTTTTTTTTAATATAAAAAATAAAACATCCCCTGATGACCCTCCCCACCCACCTCCTGTTTCCTGCCCCTCCTCCCCAGAGGCATCCACTATGCTTTCTTTAGTGTGTTATCTTTCTTGCCTACACAAATTTGCATGCACGTATATGATTGAAAAAACCAAACCAGTTGCCATTGAGTTGATTCCATCTCATGGCAACCCCAAGTGTGTCAGAGTAGAACTGTGCTCCATAGGGTTTTCGGGGACTGATTTTTCAGAAATAGATCACCAGGTCTTTCTTCCAAGGCACCTCTGGGTGCCACCTCTGGGTAGACGCAAATCTCCAACCATTTGGTGGGAAGCCCAGTGCATTAATTGTACCACCTGGGACTCTGTGTACGTGATAGATGACCATTATCTGCAATTGTTCTCTGAAAATGTACAAAAAGATTCCATTATACAACTTTTTTTTTCCTTCTCCATCGACATTAGGTTTTTGAGATCTACTCCTGTTGATATACATAGGTCAGAGATACTCTTTTTAACTGCAGTATGATATTCCATCACATCATCATATTATTCATTCTATTCACAGGCTGTTGGGTTGCTAGTAGTTTTTGCAACTATAAATAATGCTGTAATGAACGTTTGTGTGCACGTGTCCTGTGCACGTATAGGAGAAAAGTAGAATTGCTGGGTCAGGCACATTCTTCATTTCGATAGCCCCTGGTCTAAATTTGTACAAGGCACATTCTCTACTCGACTGGGCTCTCATCAACTCGGTCACCTTGCCAGATTCCCAAATGGCTTTAGCTGAACTAGAGGAGAAATGGTAGGGACCCAGGGAAAGGAGTGAAAGCTGATAGTGCTCTTTGCCATTGGAGATCAATCTCCCCTGGCTTTCAAGGACAGCGTGTCTCGAAGAGCCCCAGAGGACCTTGGCTGAATTTGAGCATATTTTTGTTTTCTCAAACTGTCTTCCTCAGCCCTGACCCTCCCCAGGTATTTGTGATCCCAGGAATGACCCTCGTGTTTATAAAGCAGCCCTTTAGAGAGCGCATAGGCAGGGAGGCTCTGGAGAGGCTGTGCCGTTTCTGCTCACTCAGGGGGGAGCCCGAGATGAGATGACGAGGTGAGGGCACGCTCCAGAAATCTCCATGAGCCTGGCCAAGAAGAGCCTCTCTGCGTGCATCCGGGAGGACATGAGTATCTGTTTATCAACCCACGAGTCTGTGGGTAGAAAGAGCTCACGAAGCTGTATTTGCAAAATGTGTACGTGAGGACCATATCGCTTGAAAAGAAGAGGTATTGTTCTTCCACCGCCGTAAAGTTCATCAGGAAACTCGGGCAGGAGAGAGAGAATGTTGGAGCTTGAAGGGGGTTGTTAACAACAGACTCCTTTGCCCTTGTCCAGACTTGCTGTCTCTGAATGGGCGGGGCCTAATCAGTTGCCGCGGAGTCGATTCCGGCTCATGGTGAGGTGACCCCATGTGTTTCAGAGAACTGTGCTCCATAGGGTTATCAGTGGCTGTGAACTTTAGGGAGGCAGATCGCCAGGCCTTTCTTCTGAGGTGCCTCCGGGTGCCAGCCTTTTGGTTTGTTGCTGAGTGCTTAACCGATTACATCAGCCAGCATGCTCTTCAGATGATTTCTAGTGAACAGCTAGGTTTAGGAACCACTGGTCTCATCTCATTCCCCAATTTATGTTAAATACCCTGCCCAGCATCACTGAGAACCCTAGGGATGATGGTAAAGCCAGCGTTGGAACCTCAGTCCTCCGGCTTCCAGGCCAGTGCTCCTCCTCCTATACTAGAACTGCCTGGTCAAGGCTTTGAACCCAAGAACCTGGTTCCAAGGGAAAACTTCAAAGGCTCCAGGTTGGCTTGGAATGGAGGGGGTTAAGTGGCCAGGTGGTTGGCGTTCTTACCCCTTTCCACAAGCTGTACTTCCTGTAGCAATTCCTTCACTGTATAACGGTGGTGGGGGTACATGGTACAATTTTCGCCTTCCATGTAAGAGACCTGGGTTGAGTTCCTGGCCAATGTACCAAAAGTGCAGCCACCATCCCCGTCAGTGGAGGCTTATGTGTTGCTGTGATGCTGAACAGGTTTCATTTCAGCGGAGCTTCCAGACTCAGACAGACTAGGAGCAAAGGCCAATCAGCTAATGAAAACCCTACAGATCACGTGGTCTGATCTGCAACAACCAATCATGGGGATGGCACAGGACTGGGCAATGTTTTGTTCTGATGTGCGTGGGGTTACCATGAGTTAGGGAGAGCCTTGATGGCGGCCAGCAGCAACCACAATTAGAGTAGTGGTCTGTGCCTGCTGGGTGTTCCACTCCTCAGGGTGTATGGACCTCATCAGCACTCAGAGAGGTGCTAGGCCCTTGGTAGCCGCAGCACAGGGAGATAATCCCAAGATGAGAAAGGCCAGTTCCTGCCCTTGTGAGATATTAGAACCTGGGTGACTTGTGGTTCTAGTACACTCGGAGGAGGTTGTTTGCAGTCATTTCCTACCAGCAGGGGAATTCAAAGTGGAGGAACTGCCTTCTTTTGTTTTAAAATGATGCTGAGGAGCCAAAGGGGCATTTCTCTTAGAACCTGGTGGCATCAAGGGATGCCAGGCTTTGCTTGGCTGGCTTCTTTGCAGGGAGCAGGGCTCAGAGGGTGGGAAAGAATGGGAGGGGTGTTTAGAATGAAGCTGGGTGTCAGCAGGGGGTAGATGGACCAACTGGGAGAGAATGTCATTAGGTTGGAATGTATCCTGGGTGCCAGCCTACACCACAGCAGACATACATTCACCATGCAGAATTGCAGAACTCCAGAGTGAGGGGTCACTGCTGGCTGCCACCTCTGACCTTTTGAAAAAAAGATGAGGGAAGACACGGTGTCACTCACCCACAGAGGCTACAGGCTTCAGGCTTCAGGTTGAAGTTCAGCCAAAAAAGTAACAAATAGACCCCCATCCTCCCCACGTCATGTCTAACTGGTATGCCCTCCCCCCCCACCTTCCCCCTCTCACCGCCCAGTATTGCCTGAATCAGCAATCCTAGCCTGTGGGTGGGCCATGTTATTGAACATAGTGGGCACGTGCTAGATGGTTTGACCACAACTGGCCATCCAAAGGAACTGGCTTTGCATTCTAACAAAAGCTGTTTCCCATGTGTGATTTCGAGTTTACCTGTGAGCCCCACCTCACCTGCACATACACAGCAAGCAGCTGGGACCACCATCTGTCTCCTGCCTAGCTTCCTACCCAGCTCATTGTCATTTAAGACTTCAATCCGGGGTGGCTTTGTGGAAAAGTGAGTTCTGGATCATATCTTGTACAGCCTGCAGATATTTCTTCATGTCTCTGTAGCCCAGTTTTCTAATCTGGACCATGGGAAGGCTCAGCTCTGCCTGTTATTATATCACAGGATTTCTAGGGAAAAGAAAACTGAGAGAATTATTGTGAATATATTGGAAGTTTCCAAGAAGGTCATCTATAGACTTCTTTTTGAACCAACCTCCCTCCCCTTCCTCCCACCCCCTGTCCCTTCCTTCTTTCCTTCCTTCTTCTAAATCTTGTAAACGAAGTTAATTTAGGCAAATCCGTGCTGTCCAATGACTTCCATCAAAAGAGCTATGATTCGTAGTAATATAGAGTATTTATACAATCAACAAAAGCAAGCTTTAGAAGAAATAGGCAAATAGAGTATAGTAGTACTTTCGTATAAGTCATTTTTTTTTCAATGCATTTGGTCATCTTACAGATCAGATATTACTCTTTCCCAATTTCATGTAAGTTATATACCTTTCATTCACCCATTTGTTTGCACATTTCTTCTAAAACTTGATTTTTCCCACACTGTGAGTTTCAGTGATAATAATACTGTATCGCATTTAAATAGCAGCCTTCGCTTTAGCAGGATTATTATCCCTATTTTTCAGACTTGAGGAATTAGAGCTCAGAAAGGTTAAAGGGTTTGGGCAAAATCATGAGTGAACAATAAGTGGCAAAGCGAGGACTGGAATTCAGGGCTCTTGAGTCCCGGTGTTCTTTGCCCATTTTAGTTTGTTAATGACTTGTCCACTGCCCTGGATATTAGTGGAGAAGTTGTCCTGGGAGGAGGAGAGTGGTGGTTAGTATTTATTCTTTGGCCCAGCATATGTCAAGGTGAAGCACATTTTGAGAGAAGTTAACAAAGAAGGAGTCATGTGAGTTCTGTGCACAGCCGGGGTGGAACCAGGAAAGCACTCCATGTTCCCTGGGCCTGTTACTCGGCGTCAGTTCTTGAAGGAGCTGGAATGCTATTACCTGTTGAAGGAAGTGAATCCACTAGGGGGAATGATAGGTTCAGGATTGGATTAGATCATCTCTTGGAGTCCCTGAGTGGCTCACACAGTTAAGCACTTGACTGCTAGTCTGCAAGTTGGTGGTTCAAACCCACCTGGAGATGCCTTGAAAACCCTGTGGAACACAGGGGGTTACCATGAGTTGGAATCAACTCGATTTCAACTAACATCATCAACAACATGGTGCCCCCAGCTCTTATATTTCTAGATAAGAGAAGTAGACTGGAAGTGGTTAGGGTTTCTTCAGAATTAACAAGGGAGACATGTTGACGTATATGAAGACATGTGTGAAGATGCATGATGGCTTTGGGTAAAGGTCTCATTTTCTCACCAGACCTGGATAAGGGCGAATCCTAAGACTCCAAGCAAGAAGGAACAGGGGGTTGCTTTCAGATTCTTGGGGCTTATTTTCCTAAGAGAGCTTTAAGGTCGCTTGTAGATCTAGGATCACCTTGCCATCTGTTGAGTGGAGAATGAGGTCAGAGCATTGCAGTAGGAAAAAATGTGTTTTTATGAGAGTAAGAATCTATCCACCACAAGGGTTTTGATTATTTGTATATGGTCATTAGTGCTACAATCCAGACTGTTTTGGGGAAAGGGACTATGCTAAAATTACATTTTAAAACCAATGTATTAATGCACAGAAGTAGACATAAACTCTTCAGCTCCCAGCTGCCCACCTTGGCTGGAGAAGTAAGAGTGGGTCAAGGAAGAACGTGGAGACCCCATGCCAATTGTGAAGCACCTTTGATGGTGGCAGAGAGGTTGCGTTTGCTCCTTTTGGGCCTTAGGTTTGCCATCTGAAAAATGGAACAACTCATCCATTTCCTCTGGTTCTATCTGCCTTTGTCATCTCCAGCTCTCCTCCAGGTTTATAAGGTTACCAGTTACCAGTGGCTGTCACGTCAACTTCAACTCATGATGATCCCATGTATGTCAGAGCAGAACTGCTTCATAGGGTTTTCAATGGCTGCTGTTTTAGAAGTAGATCGCCAAGCCTTTCTTCAGGGCACCTCTGGGTGGACTTGAGCCTCCAACATTTTAGTTAGCAGCTAAGTTCGTTCACTGGTTGTACCACCCAGGGACTCCTTATACGGTACAGAAGTGTGGCAGTACACTTATGGCAGGGGCAGGAGTTCTTCCCTGTTCTCCAAGCCCTCCACTAAATGGGGCTGGGAAACTTCCAGACGTTTGGATAAAGTCTGACTCCAGAACAGTCTCTATAGTCTCTTCTACTCTCCCTCTATAGTCTTCCTCACTTCTTTTTTTTTAAATTGTTGTCGTTTAGATGAAGTTTACATTTCAAGTTAGTCTCCCATACAAAAACTTATACATACATTGTTATGTGACCCTAATTGCTCTCCCCATACTGTGACAGCACACTTCTTTCCATCCCTGATTCCCCATGTCCATTCAATCAGCTCCTAACCCATCTCACCTCCGGACAGAAGCTCCCCGTTTAGTCTCTTGTATCTACTTGAGCTAAGAGGCACACTCCTCACGAGTATCACTTTATGTCCCACAGTCCAGTCCAATCCCTGTCTGAAGAGTTGGCCTCGGAAATTGTTTTAGTTCTGGACTGATAGAGAATCTGGGGGCTGTGCTTTCCGGGCTTCCTCTAGTCTCAGTCAGACCATTAAGTCTGATCTTCTTACTGAATTTGAGTTCTGCACCCCACCTTTCTCCTGCTTCATCAGGGCTCTCTATTTTGTCTCCTGTCAGGGCGGTCATTGGTGGTAGCTGGGCACCATCTAGTTCTTCTGGTATCAGGCTGATGAAATCTCTGGTTTATGTGGCCCTTTCTATCTCTTGGGCTAATAGTTTCCTTGTGACTTTGGTGTTCTTCATTCTCCTTTACTCCGGGTGGTTGGGACCAATTGATGCATCTTAGATGGCCACTTGCAAGCTTTTAAGACCCCAGATGCCACTCATTGAAGTAGGATGCAGAACATTTTCTTAATAA